CACCACGAGTAATTGTGGTAACCAACAGCCGCAGTCTGTGCAGGCCTAGTGTAATTAAAAAAAGATATAACAATAATAAAAAAAAGAACATAAAAAAAAAATAAGAATTTATGCTGCAACCAGGCCGTGATACTTCCAACAAGTTTGTTGTGGCAGCAAATGAAGCCCCACAGTCTGCTGATGACAAGGGTCACCTCACCGGTAAGTTCCTCAGCAAGTTTTGTGGAGTATGGTAAGCTCGGTCAGTCAGTAGTACACACAGTATGGAGTGGCGCCCAACTGTTTCTGTCCCTGAACGAGTCAGCCACAGACTGTATTCTATGTAATGCCGCAATAGTACCAGATTCTTCAGCCACTTAGACGCTAAGAAGAATGACTCCTCTACGGGTTGTCTATTACCTGTGCCTTAGTAACAGTGGCATAGTAGATTGACAATCAGCAGTTCGGAGCATCCTGCCCAACAACAACAGATGACCACTTCGACCCCAGGTCGGTCCGAGTTGGATTGCAGCCCCTAGCCAGGCCACGCAGCCTTTCGGCCAATACCGGCTTAGCAACAGTGACAACAGTACGGTAACATCAGTACCAGAGCCTCTCAAGCAGTAGTCGGGGTAGTGATGGCGGTAGTGTCTGACGACTAGTTCTGCTTGCTGCGCTGACTCTTACTGCTCCCACACAACAGCCCTAAACTCCCCTCCTCACGTTATCCCTCTCAGCGCCCCCTACTCTGAATGTGGCCAGCTCCAAATTGTGGGGAACCCAATCCAGACTGTAGCAGCGCGGTCCGTAAGCAACATAAGAGCCTGCGGACGCCGAACCCGCAGCGAACCGTCCAGCCTGGGCACGTTCCCTCCTCGCAGGCTAGTTCAAATCAGTAGGGCGCAGGCAGACCCCACAGTCTATCACTGCCCGTCGCATCATCTCCCTCAACTGGCCGGGGCTGCGCTTGCCTGCACCTCTCTCTCCCTCTCCTTATTTCGTCTCTCCCACATCCGTATGTGCAACCACCCTCCTCTGTCCCAGCTGCAGCTAACTCATAACTCGGGTGGCTCGTTGAGCTTGGATGCCCGTTGACTGAGGCATCTGACAATAGCAAGGAACAATCACCGCAGTGAAACCATAGCTACACAGGAAAGGATAGCGACGAGGTAGCAGAGGTGATCACGTCAACCACCAGATCGTGAGGAGGGGCTACAACAACTGCAGGGAAGACTCGATCACAACGAAGGTGGGGCTACGAGCCACACCAATGCCCACCCTCGATCATCGATACCTCCTTTTCTCCTCGTTTGCACCCCGTTCTCCTGCCTGCCACCACCGATGCTGTCGCGCATGCCCGGTCCGATTCTCCTCCGTCGTTGCTCTCTGCCCCAATCTCCGACTGTACCTGGCGCTGATCTGTGCCCAGGTTCAATCAGTCGACCAGCCCAATCATCGGTTTCTCTGCGCACCTCGCCTGCTACCGTGCTCAACTCTCAGTACACCCCGCATCAACAACCTCCGGCGGTAAGTCGCTCTCTCTTCCTCTCTCTCTCTCTCTCCCCCCCTTTTTTTTTTTTTTTTTCACTGTCCCGAAGGACCAAAAGGGAGTTCCCACAATGAGGCTGTGTAAGTTCAGATCCGGCACAGGATCTGCATATCAGTAGTTCATTGGCTTATCACTTGAGGTGAGGCCTCTGGTCTGTCCCATGGGCCGGTCCACTTTTAACTCATGCCTGTGTGTCATCAACTCAAGAGTGTACCAGCCGAGCTAGCTCATACAGCCAGCGTTGTGGTAAGTGGCACCGCTCCTTCTCAGAAAAAATCCAGGACTGTGGTGTTTCACTGATCTATCTCATGTGGGGCCCAAACTAGGGCCTGTACTTCAACAGTTCAGTGGTGTATCCACTGGACAAGCTGCTGGGCGCCGCTGCAGGCCCCAGCACCGGTACAGGTCCTCATTCCCAGATAGAAAAAGTAGCAATAGAAAAAAAAAGCAAAATATATATATATATATATATATATATATATATATATATAAAATTCACACTCAAAAATAAAAAGGGGTAAAATCGGATGTGGGAGAGGATCGTTGGTACCTGGTCCGCAGCCTCACCTCGCGGGCCCGCGGTCGGGACCCCCCGCAAAAAACGAAGGGGGATAGTCCCGCGGGACCCTCCACCCCTTGGCTCACGCCATAGTGCTCCTCCGCTGCTTCGCTGCTCTGCGTTGGCCTCTATCCCAGGATTCGCCTGGTGAAAATTCAATGACGTAACCTATAGGGCTAAGCCCCAACCTGGAGGTAACAGGCGCAGCCCTCCATATGAAGAGTATCTGCCGCATGCCCAGACCCTTACGAGTGTGCCAAGGCCACCGCTTGGCTCACCCCTCAACCTCAGGGCCCCGCAATGTCGCGTTCCGCTGCCTCGCGGCCAGGCGCAGCTTGGCTATGTGTGTCGCCCCTATATGCCATGGTCGCGGCCCGAGGCTCTCATAGCCTACCGCGGTCGGCGCTTTTACCGCTGCCTCCGCCAGAGGGACCCTGCCTGTTGGTGCCATCCTCTCATCAGGATAGCGGCGGCCCCTACTGACGAGGCCTGGTCAACCCAGTGTTCGTGATAGTTTCACACGGCGCCGCCCGGAGCGTCGGCCTCTAACAATTGAGGCACTATGCCCCCTCCAATCACAGTCTTACTTGGTCAATTCTACGCCACCCGGAACTTCGTCCGAGCGTGCGAGGCCACACCTACCCCCACATCCTAGCCTAATGCCCACTTATTCCACTGGCGTCTCATAGACTTCCTCGGTCAAGGTACGGTCAAGCTAGTGCGTGCCCACAAGATGCACGCTCACACACTCCCTAATCAACACAACTGGGACACGCCCCTAGATGCCACCAGAGGCATTCTTCCTGCGAGCTGCGAAAACGTGCCCAAATACCCTTGTAAGGGTATTCCGGCCGACAGCTTTTCGGACCTTATTAAGCGACGTCCCCGTCGTGTCGGATAATCATCGCTATAAACACAACCACATTTTGCTGACAAGGAAGCGACCAATCCGGTTCACCGACTCGACTCCATTTGAGGTTGTCTTATCAATCTGCCCCCGTTACGACGTTCCTCTGCCAGGGTTTCAACCTGGGTCTCCCACGTCCTAGCCTCGGAGCTAGGGGATATTTTGTTCCGTACTACAGCGTACTACCCGCTCCCAGGTAGTAGGTTGATAGTCCTCTCCCTTCGTCATAGACCTCTGCCGGCTCACCGTTGGGTGTCCTGTATAGTCATCGTCCCGCGAGCGGGGTCATAACATAGGACGTGGGCCCTAACTGAGACCTCTGAAAAACACAGGGCGCCTTCAACCGCCCACATGGTAGTGTCTACCATCTCAAAGCACAACGAACGCCGAGCCTGGAGTCTAACACAGGCGGCTTCAGGTCTCCATCTTGGCCCACCATGGACCGGTCGATCCCGCCGAGTCCATGGCCCACCGCGTTGTTATGTAGCGATGGTGCCCTCGTTGGTTACGCAACGATAAGCAACTTTCCTATCTTGGCACCCAAAAAGGGTCCTGACTCCTGACCTAATCGACCCCAATGACCTTTCCTTTAGCTAAGCCTCTCCGAGTGGCCGACCCTTCAAGACTTAACCTTTGGTAAGTCATGGTCCCGCTGCCAGGTTGTGCCGGTCAGGGGGCCCTCGCTGGGAGTTAGGTTCTACAGTTCCAGCGATGCTAAGTATAGCCCCTTAGCTCCGCCTCACAAGACGTCCCTTAGACTGACTCCACTGTGGTCTGGCACTTTCTTTCAAAAGTCTTCAGAAATAACCAAAGGATCACATACCCCTACCCACGGGACTACGGGGAGGGGTAGTGCCTTTATTAACATTCCAACAAAAATCCTTAGTATTTCCACAGGGTCGTGCCTCCCTGACTTTGATCAAAAGCAGGTAAGGTCACATGTCTTTTAGGGATACTCAGAGTATTTTCCAAAGTTCCACCATAACTGCCAAAAGTTTCGATCCATTATGCACAAAACATTTGGTCTTTCCTTGTCAGACTTTTACATACATACAAATATTATCATCACTGTAGCCGCTCTTTTGAGTGCTCTCACAAAACTTCATCCTTTTAAGAAAGCCCGATCGGCCATTGGACTTCCCTCTCTCTTTTTCAATCATACAAAAAAAAAACACAACTTTTAGTTGTGACCATTCCATTCATCATTATCTGGGCAAAATACATCATGTCATCATTGTCTCTATAATCTGAGAACACTCCCTTCCATTATATTCCCGGCTCCACTTGTCATGGGGACAGGGAGGCGTAAGTACAGTGGAAGAAACGCAGATCAGTTCATTCCACAGTATTCATCTCATCACACCATCATCCATATGGGCAAATCCACAAACTGAGAGTGAGAGTGATACGACATACACAACATAAAGACAAGGTTTGATACTCGCGTGTACACCCAAGACATGGGGCCCCGCATTGTGCAAAGGCTCCCGTCCTTATTATAGAACTTCAAATATTATACAAGGAGTTCAGGTATCCCATAAGGAATGAAGGTAGTCAAGCGTTGAAGTATCGGGATTCGACGGCCGCTCCACACTCATGAGTGTTATTCTATAAGGGTATTAACACTCTACATCATATAAGAAAAGAACAATAGCCAGACTCAGTGTTATCTTATGTACGAACAAAGGTTCTCAAGTCTATAATGCGATGCAACATCTCACTACTAGCTCAGCCTACTGATGTACATGGGTCTGATCCTATCCTCCATGTATCCCTCTATATACAAGTAGCCATCAGTCTGAGAGTCAGAAAAATCCCGCATATGTTAGACTTTAGACCTTTCCGGACCTTATTAGAAATTCTTATTCCTGATCACTCGTGACCTCCTGCAGCTGCCTATACAACTGCGCCCTTACCCCATCACGAGTCTTAGGGACTAGGTTTCCATTTCTATCTCTCCATACCCCAGATGACTCCCTCGTACACAATCTATTTGACTCGTCCTTGAGGCTCTTGGGGCAGTCCTCAGACCGATGTTTGCATCTCTTGCAATAAAAGCACTTGCCAAGTTTCTTCTGGGACATCTCGTCTCCTTCCAGCGAGGGTACAGATGACGGGGTTGTTGAGATCTTGCTCGTAACCTCCTGCTGTGGGACCCTTGAGGAAGCGGGGCAGGCTGCTCTGTCATCTGCTGGCATCCCCAACTTCCCAACACGCCCCTCTGGCCCTGACCCAGTGGCCCAAGATCCCAGTACATCCCGCAAATCTGTAACAAGTGGCACCTCCTGAAGGATGGTTGACTCCTGACAGTCCCTCAGGTCCACTTTCTACTCAGTCTCAGCCATGATTTGGCCCACACTCTCCTGACCCTCCTGCTGTCTCACAGTCTCTTTCCGAATAGTAGGTGGAACCTCCCCAGCTCTCATTGCCTCAACTGGTGGTCCCTCCTGTGGTACTGCCGGCTCGTGTCCCAGTGTCAGGCCAGCAGGTAACCTCCACTCAAACTCTCCGACCTCGGCACCCTTTTTCACAAACACTCCTGGCTGCTCCAACATCTCTTTGTCGATCAGAGGGATCTCCTCACCCTCCTGCTGGTCCACCATCTCTACTTCCTTCTCCCTCTTGAAGACTTCCTCTGCAGGCTGTTCCCTGATCTCAAACTTCTGGACCTCTGCCCAATCCAGCACTCTTGTGGGAGCTTGCTGGGTATACTTGGCTTCGAGGTTTCGAATTATTTTCTCCCACTCAGTCTCCTTAACCTGGAAGAAGGTCAGTTGTGTACACATATAGACCCTCAGCGCGTCAGTGATCTTGTTAAGGGTCTGGTTGACTTGTCTGGCGGCTTCATTCTCTGCTGAGACTCTCTTTATGTCCGCTTTTACTGCTGCCAACTCTTTACCCTGTCTTCCCAGCTCCCTCTTCAGGCCCTCAGCCTCTCTCTCCCAGTTCACCCTCTGGCCATAAGCCTTTTGTGCCACCTTTGTCAGCCTGTCCCCAATCTTCTGATCTGAGGTCCTTGCTGCAGCGAAGCCTTCTCTCGTCACGCTCCTTAGGTTGAGCAGGTCTGTAGAGACCAACTTAACCCCCGTCTCCTGATGTTGTCCACCTGATCTTCCTGTGGTGTCCATCAGCTTATCGAAGCCCATCCAGACCTCTGAGAACAGAGGAGGGTCCTCCTCCTGAGTGCAGGTACCCTTTCCTTTTCTGCCCTCCACCTCCTCAGGCGCCTTTCCTTGCTGCATCCTCCCATGCAGTTCTGCCAGGTTCTTCTTTCAGAGTTGAGTCCTGATCTCCAGCTCCCTTGCTGCCCTCTCTTCTCTGTCTAGCTCCTTTTCATCAACAGACGGTTCCTCCCTCATCTCTTGCGTATGCGGCTCGTGAGGGATGTCTGGCTCTGCGTCAGGCATGGGGCCATCCATCTCCCTCTGAGCAGGTTGTGGAGGTGCATCTGAACCATCGGACCCCTCTGCTCTCTCATGTCGGTGGGACTTGTGTTCCTTCCTCCTTTCCTCCCTTTGAGCCCCTGGTGACGCGCCCTGCTCAAAGGTTCCCCTTGCCTCTGTCTCAGGTTCCCTTCTCCTTTTTTCCACACCTCTCCTCTCACTTGCCTGACGAGCTGGAGTATAATAGTTCCATAGCAGCTTCTTGCAGTGCCCCCAGTTCATGGCAGATGCCACCATGGATCGTACGAAGGGTCTGATATGGTGTCTTACAAACAACAGGAAGCTCCCCACTCTCTGCTCTCCTGGGATACAGAGCTCATCCGCATATCGATCATAAGCCCATAAGAACTCCCCCAGATTAGTGGAGTCGAATCGAATGGGCTGTCCATCCCTTCCCAGTGGTGACGGATGCAAACCCTCCATCCTCCGTCCAAAGTCTTGCCAGCTCAGCGACTCTCTGACCAGTTTAACAAGAGGGTCCGCCCACTCGCCTGTGCCTCGCACCTCTCTCAACATCCTGGTGCTGTCCCATCCAAACTCTCTCGCATGCCGCTCGAACTCCATCAGGAACAGCTTAATGTTCCCTCCCTGGAAGACTGAAGGCCTGTCCTCTCTCTTGGTCCTCATCTGCGTCCTTTGTCGGGTTGCCCCCAAAGGGGTTTCCACTGACCCTGCCCCTCCCCTCCCTCTTGGCATGGCTGCCCCAAGCGGTATCAAGCCTGCACAACAGGGAAGAGGCAAACAGAAGCACACAGAGGGTAAGCGATGTCAGACAAAACACAACAGGAGACAGACATAACCCTCCCACACCTATCTCAACTACCTACCTACACACACACACGCATACATAGTCATACACACATGCAAGTCTAACCACAACCTATCATGCTATTCTACTGAGGGCAGCACCCGAAGTAGCCACTAGATGACTCTAAGTGGTGGGATCCCTGCTCACCTCGCCTCGAGCCACGAACTTCTTTAGCCTCGAGCCGGACACCCAGTCCTTCCATGCCGTCCCATTCAGCTCTTCGATTTGGTAGGCACCATGTTCACCACATCTGGTGACCCTGTAAGGCCCCAACCACCTCTTATCCAACTTCCGCGACCACTGCTTTTCCAGGGACGAGTCGTACAACAGCACAACATCTCCCACCTTGAGAGGCTCCTTTCTTACCCTCGCCATCTTGTCCCACCGGAACTTGTCCTTGGTACGGCTGTCCGCGGTTCTACTTGCTGCCTCCTCAATCCTGTCCTCAATAACGCCGATCTGTCGTGCCCTCAAATCCAGCAGTTCCTCAAAGGTCAGATCAGTCTCAAGGTCCTGTCGCCTCCAAGTTTTTAGGAAGCTTTCAATGGGAAATGTCGCATGTCTGCCGTACCATAGCGTAGCCGGTGCATAGCCAGTGCTCCTCCTGATAGTGATGTTATCCACGAAAAATGCGACCCTTAGAAAGTTTGGCCATTGGTTGGGTCTGCCATCGGTCCACTTGGCAAGAAGATTTGTGATGGTGCTATGCCCCCTCTCCACAGGTGCGTTGGCTTGAGGGTGCGTTGCAGTAGTGTACTCAGCGATTACCCCATACTTCTTCAAAAGAGCCTTCACTTCTGCACATGTGAACTCGGACCCTCTATCCATCACGAATCTGGACACAAAGGGGTAGCGAAGATAGTACTCTTCGATGCATCGGGCCAATGTCTCTCCAGTCTTCGTGCGAATGACCCTGCCATCCACAAACCCCGAGAGGTTGTTCCGTGCATCAAAGATGAAATTGTAGCTCCCTATCCCCAACGGCATTGCCAATAGATCCAAGTGCACGACTGCTCCAACCTCACGAACGTACCTTGGGTGCAGCGACTCCCTGCGTCTGAGAGCAGACCGTTCCTGGCATGACACACAAAACTTACAATAGTCATCAATCATCTGCCCCATGCCATCCCAATAGTACAACTCGTGGATCTTCAGGTATGTCGTATCCGCACCTCTGTGGCCACCTGCCATACCGTCGTGCAGTGCCGCCATAATGTCGATCTGGCGAGCGACGCCACATACTACTCTCCTGGGGTCCCTTCCTTTGCTCCTCATGAACAGATGTCCATCCCTCACCAGGAAACTAGGCCTCATCTTCAGAACTCGCGCGCAGACATCCTTTTCCCTCATCTCGCACGAAAGAAGCATGCCGAGTTCAAGGTATACCTCCTCATCCTCCTCTGCTCGAAACGCTTCCTGGATCTCCCCCTCTTCGAAGTCATCATCTTCTCTCTCGTGGATCACGTTGTCACCTCCTCCCGGCTTTATCTCCTCTTCCTGGTCTAGTACCGTATTTTTGACCGTCTCTTCCTGAAGCAGCGCATTTGCCAACAGGTACACCCCACCTATCATCTTCTCGTGCTTACCCACCTGTAGCGCCTCATTTTCAATTGTAAGCGGGTCTTCCTGCAACTCGTACTTGCTTGCTAAGGTCAGCTCCATCATCCAACCTACGCCCGACATTCCCCAAGAATCTTCTTCAATATAGGGTTTGAGAACCAAGTCTGGCCATCGTACATGTCCCGGAGGCGCAAGCCATATAGGTCGCCCAGGAGTAACGTACTTACCCACGGCCAATGCCCAGGAGTTGATGTGAAGTCTCACATCCTCCTCGCTATCTAAAAATCCGTCGACTGGTGGAGTATCCTTGATCACCCCCTGATGGTTTTTGTCCCAGTCGACTGGACTCAGCCCGTCCGCCCTGTTCTTGTTCCCTGGAATTCGCTCCAACTCGAAGTCGAACATCCAGATGTAGGTCAGCCACCTGGCGATAGTTGGATCTGAAGGAGCAAAGTTTTTGAGGGAACCAGCCAATGCCGTAGCGTCCACCCTTAGTACGAACCTGTTGCCGAAGAGGTAGTTTCTGAAGATCCTCAAACAGTGAAGAACTGCCAAGGTTTCGCGCTTGAACTCAGAGTAGTTTCTCTCAGACGTATTAAGCGTCCGACTCTCGAATCTTAATGGCTGCTCTTCTCCGTTGGGGTCTCGCTGGATCAACACTCCTCCTAATGCAGTCGGCCCTGCATCCGTCTCCACAATAAACGGCCTGGTCATCACCGCCGCATGGTCCGGTACCCCCAGTACTAGACCTCCTTCCTCGAACTCTTTCTTCATGCCTTCTATCACCGATTCTTGTTGGTCTCCCCACTCCCAATCTTGTCCTTGATGCACAAGTTTCCTTAACTGTTGAGTTTTTTGCCGCAAATCCCTTAATAAAGATCCTCCAAAACCCACACGTGCCCAGAAAACTTCTAACCTCCGTGATAGTCTGGAACGGTGTTGGTCAGTCGAGAATCTTGTTAGTCTTCTTAGTATCTGGCCGACGACCCCTCTCGTCGCACACAAATCCTAAGATAGTGGCACCACTCATGCAGTGCCTCGATTTTGGCCCACTGGCAGTGAGGTTATGCTCCTTCAAGAGATTCAGGACCTTGCACAAGTCTTGCACATGATCCCACATAAAGCGCCTGATACCTGGCACCACCTCCTGCTCGTCCTTCTCTTTGGGCCCTTTTATGGCCAAATCATCAATGTAGGGCTGCGTGATGTGAGGACTTATGGGCTGCATCGCCCTCACCATGTGTCGCTGGACCATAGCGACCGCATTCGTCCACCCCTGCGGTGCGACGTTCATGTAGATCAGCCCTCGTGGGGTATGCATGGCTGTCATAGGCCGGTCAGACGGGTATACAGGGAACTGATCGTAGCCTGAATACAAGTCAATGAGTGATATGATGGCCCTCCCAGCGCATGCCTCCGAAAGCGCATCAGCGTTGGGGAGACCTCCTGCGTCCCTCACCGTCACAGCATTCAGGCGCTCTAAATCCTGTACCCACCTCAGCGTCCCATTGGGTTTGACAAAACAAAACCATGGGGATGCATACGGTCCGTTCGAGTAATCTGCCACATGAGTGCGGATCTTCCCATCAAGGTAGTTGACCACTTTCTCTTCGTCAGCGGGATTAGGATACCGCGCACCTCGCAAGTTTCACGGTTCGTGGGCTACGGTATGTATCCTAATCATTGGGATAATATCCACGTCCAGTCGGCCTCTCTCATCATCACTGAAGGCATATGTAGCATGCCTTCCTCTTATGGTGTCCACCACAAATTTCTCCTCCTGCGCCGTAAGAAAGTCAGGCTCCCCTATGATCAGCGCCTTCTCTGTCTCGGCATTGATACCTCATGGTCCACTTTCCGTCCTTTCTCGCATCTGCCGTATCAACTCTCGCCCCCGCTTGTAGTATACCTCCTGTTCTTCAGTAACGAGTATGGGAACGGGGCGGCACTTTTGGTCTACCCTTTTGTACCGCCTTTGGGCGCCCTGCTTGAGCCCACCCCTAAAAAAGGTCGAGTTGCCCTCTGGGGTTGCGCGCCACTCTCTCCACCTGTCTGACCAGGTGTTAGATATACCAATTCCATCTCTCCTGCACCCATTTGCTCCACTACCTTCTCTCTCAAGGCCTCCACAGCCTCATGCTCCGCCATCCCATAGGTCGATACTATGTCCATAGCGTCGCCTATGTTCGCCAAGCTTAGAGTCAGTGCCTCTGGCTCCTTTACCTCCTCAAGCCTGCTGTTTTCAATCCTTAACCTTTCTTCTTCTGATTCTTCGATTGTGAACGAACCGGGGTTAGGCCGGTTCCTTACACTCTTGGGTCCTGTGTTCTTGCAGGTGATGGCCTCGTAATTCCCACATACGGGGTCGCACAAGACGAGGAACATAGTTTCGTCATGTTTATTGAGGATGACCGTCTCGGTCCTGCTCAGGAACGATCTCCCAAGTAAAATAGGGTGGTCCAAGTCAGGCATCACAAAGAAGCAGCTCCTTACTTTCACCTTTCCAATTTCCAATATTACTGACGACGCGGTCCCAATGAATATCGATCGGCTATTGACCCCCATCAAAACCCCGTTGTCGGAGCGGTCTATCTCCATTCCCAGCCGTACGGCATGTTCCTCCTTTATGAGGTTCATTTTCGCTCCACTGCCCACCATTGCGGTGCATGTCTTCCCTTTTACCACAACGTCGAGGCAGCCACAGGCGACAGACTTCCAGTCCATCTTAGTACCCGTTTCAGCCCGATCCGCCTCCTTAGGGATTATAGTCCCCAATCGTATGCTGACTACCATATTCCTGGATAATCTTGCTCTTAACTCATCCCTAAGTCTAGGCGCTGAGGCTAGTACGTTCTTCAGGTTCATAAGGTAATTATGACCCTCTTGGATTCTGTCCATTATCTCTTCCACATCGAAGCCTTCTTCCACTCGGACAGCGTACTTCTTCTTCTTTACTTCTTGTGCCTTGTCTGTATCAGGTCTGGCACCCCTCTTCTTGGCCCTTTGCTCGGCCCTCTCATCCTCTTCCTTCCTCAACCTGTCATCTTCGTCATCCTCTCCTTCTGGAACGTCCACTACCTCTTTCTCTCCACTGGGTTCGGGAACATCCTTGGCTGGTTCTTCGGGACTCATTGGCCCTTTAGCCCTTGTCCTAACGGCATGAGGCGCCCTCCCCGTCCTGGAGGGTGGTCTAAAGGTCATTCCGGATCGAGGTGTCGCTCCTGAGGTCGTGACGTTTGGTAGATTCCCGGACCCTCCTTGCGACCCCGGACCTAAGTCGTAGAGGTATACCGATGGCTCCTTACCTTGCCACCCCTTGACTTCTCCACACATATCAGCTAGCTTCTGTTGGTATCTCCTGACTTTGTTTATCAGGTCCTCCATTCTCTCCATTGTCTCTTGGGCCGTTCTCCAATAATCTTCCCCTGTCTCAGCATGCAGCGGCCTGTTCCAGCAATCTTCCTCAATCTCATCGTCGGACTCCATTATGATCGGTTCTATCTTGATAGTGCCAACTTTCCTTCCTTGCTCTACCTCCTCGTTCTCTCCTACCTCTTCCACCCTAATGTCGCTGTGGACCTTTTTCTCCTGCCACATCCGAAACATGGCTGGAGGAGCGGGTGGTTCACCTGCCTCGGCTCGCCGTAGGGCCTCCTTCCTTGTCCCGCCTGGGGTCCTTGGATCAAGGTGGTACCCCCACTTGTCGTACATATCCCCATCATAGTTGGTGCTGATTAGGCCTTCGTCCTCATCATTCCTCCTTTCATGGCAGAACTTGATCGTGTGACCTTTCTGCCCGCATTGCCAACAAATGGCGTTCCTCCAATCTATTCTCCCCCTGCCAACACCTCTTCCACCTTCCTGGCCACCTTGACTCCCAAATGCTGTCCAACCCTCACTTCCCCCGCCTGCAGCGTTACCACCACCATTCCCTCTGCCGTTTCCTCCCCGGACACCATTCCCTCGTCCTCGGCCCCACCCTTGATTTTGTCCTCGTCCACCGCCTTGATTGCCTTGCGACCCTTGTGGGGCTGATTGCTGGGGTAGGGTTGGCGGTGGGTCTGGATGACTTACTTGCTGAGCTTGGGGCCCCGGACAGCCGTAGGAAGCCATGCTCATTGGTGGTCTTTGAGCCTTTGTCAGCTTCTGCGGCTCAGTCTCCTCTTCTTCTTCCTCGTCTTCTTCCTCTTCTTCTTCCTCCTGCACCACTGCTTTCTTTGCTTTACCTTGGGTCAGTGGTACCGCCATAGTTTTTCTTCTTGCCTCCTTCGCTGAATCGAGTTGGGCCACCGCATCCTCCACCATTTTCTTGAAGTCGCGCCCATGACTCGTCGTAGCGTCTAAGGCCTTCCGTTTCTTCCTAGCCTGCCTCATCTGGAAGATGTCTACCTGGTCTAGTTCTCCGTCCATTACGCCTTCCTTTATGGCCGCCCAAGTGAGCTTCTTCCCTGGAGCAGCCTTCTTAGTTAGCGACAAGCCCTCCCAGTTCTTGAAGTGCCCTAGGAAAGTGGCACACTGCTCCTCTTCTGCCAACCCTGGGACTTTCTTTGTCATTTTCTCAAACGCCGTGGCGAATGCCCCCACTGTGGAGAACTCGTCCCGTCTCAACATTTCCAGGTCTTCTTTGGTGAGCAGGCCGTCACCTAACTTGAAACGTCTCTGCATCTCCTCTTTACACTTTGCCCACTCACCATTTGCGTCGGCCGCTACCTTCATTACCTCAGGTCTAAGCTCCCACCATACATACCTAGGCATCAGCTTGAATTTGTCTTCTTCTGACGCCTCGCTAGTGACCTGCTCCAACAACTCAAGCCACTCGGACACTCTATCCCCGTTGAAGTGAAAAATGTTAACCTTGGGCACCTGAAGCCGTGTCATCTCTCTCTTTTCCAATGCCTTGACGAAGTCCTCAGGTGTAGCACCCGGGCCCCGCTCGATTCCATCAGCGTCCCCCATCTTTATTCTTTCTCAAAAACTTGTTAAGGGATGAACAGTTTTAACAAAAACAATCGGCCATCAAATTTCCAACTCGCTGACTTTCATGATTATCTTTATTTAACTAAAGTAGCCTATCAGGTCTCTATATTGTAACTTCTGATTCTATTGCTAAAAAAACGATCATATATATACAATGCATACTTCCAACCTTACTCATCAATCAAAATAGAATTGACATGCCATCAAGAATGCCACAATACTCGTATCATCGCCAATCAAAAGGGAGAAAAATCTTTCCATCAAAGGTTGTCGTTTTGCCTGGATCATCAACCTGCACTTAACCTGGGTTCGTTCACTATGGACCCCGGTAGGCAGCCGAGATCCCCGGCAACGGCGCCACCTGTCGAGCGCTTCGGTCGTGGAGAGCGTTTGCCGCTCCGGCCGAGTCACGCAGAATTATGCAGGACTTGTCGCGGAGAGCGTTTGCCGTTCCGGTCGAGTGCGCCAGCCGTACCTCTCGCGAGTCCCTACGACAGGACAGAGTCACGCGAGGCACCGCTACCTCCACCTGCGGGAGCTGTCACCATCCCTTAGGTGGGCGTATCCCTGCCG